CTAGAATCGAGGGGTATCACAGTTGGTATCAGAGTACTCCAAGTTCTAGTGTCCTTATGAGTGTCTTTCGTTAAAAGTCTTCCGCGTTGCGTCTCTTAAAAAAAAAACTTAGAGCCATATTAGGATTCGTTGCACTCTTTTACGGTTCGTTAGGAGGAGCTGATGTCAATTATTTTTCATCCTTATGAAATGGTTGACACTAGAAGAAAGATGGAGTCCGCGGCGATAGCGAATCAGACCCGAAGGAGTAGAGGAGTACGTTATCGAGTTCTCGATCAGAAGCAGAACTTGGGATTGAAGGTTTAGTTTCGGTTGGCGCTACTTTTAGAAGTATAAGCCAAAGAGGGATATAGGAGTACGGTTTAGGTCACTGCATAACAAGACCAACATGATTTCAGTGGTTCTCGTAAAGGAGACAACCGAGGAATGGGAGTCCAAAGAGGATTCTAGTAGAGGAGATTTCAACATATCCAAGAAAGAGGGACTTGAATGTTGAAAAGCAAGGATCAAGCGAGAGTGATCTTGTTCGCTAATAGTATAGTGAACGATACTAGTAGAGTTGGCATGGATCGACCTACAAATAATTAACCTTAGGGATTACCTTTAGAAAAGGTAGATAAAGTGAACTCTTCAGGAGTTTAAGATCGGATGGAATTCTTCTCAAACTGAAGCGATGATTTTATATCACGTTCAGAGGAGTTTTGGGATTAGGCTGGGATGTTCTAAGTTGCTTTACAAAGCTACTTTGGACAGTTGGTATTCCGGGTATAAGGAGGATGAAGGTTAAGCCTTTGGAAATTGCTGAAGCAAATGGATTGTGTTGAGCTATGATTTGAGCTTATGTTTCGAGGTTGGATGATTTTTCTCTGAAATTGTAGAAGGGAGATTGTGAACCAATCAGGTAAAGTTGATTTCTAAAAGGAGATTTTCTTTGCTAGGAGGAACGATGTTTTACGTAGGGTTCTATCGTGTTTTTGTTGTGTTTATTGTGTGTGCTTTATGTATTTCCTTTTCGTTAATAATTCAGGATCGGGATTACGGTTTCCGTGGGGATACAAGTGAGTGATCAGTCAACTACCGTTTTGGAGGAATAGCGTTGAGTAAGCTAGGATTTTGGGCATGGGATTATAGGATTTGGTAGGTATATCTAACTTTTGCCAAACTTGGACATGCGTAGTTATAATACGTTTTCGGGATAGAGTAGGTAACCCAGTGGTTCGAGTCAAATGATAAAGAATCATTTGATAGACTGTAACGTTTATCGGAAGAAATGACTTGGCTGAATATCTTCTCGGAAACTTTAAGCGGGTGTTCCCAAGTCAGCAGGAGGATTTTGGTACTGGTTTAGGTACTTGTAGGAACGTCACCAATTGAGGATAGTAGACGGGATTAACTATTCGTCAGTCTATCCTTAATCAAGAATTTGGTTCCTAAGGGTGTGATCGAACATCTAAATATGGGAGCTAGTGTTACCAGACTAGGGATACTATCGTTAGACAAATTGGGAGGCAAGTAGGAGGAAGGACATAATGCTTTGTCGCAAAGTCTGATATCTAGTAAATAATCTAGATGGACGGTCAGAAATCATTAGATCCTTGTGGCCATTTCTCGTGCTAGAGCGGGCCTGATAGAGTAGTTTCCACGGATCTAGATGAGCGATTGCTGATTCTACACAGGGATCAGGATTCTGGGTGACTGATACAATTAAATCAGCTTTGTGTTGACTATTTTAGAACTAGTAAGATATCAATTCCTACGAATAGTACAAATAACGAGATGGCTTAGATGGACAGGTGTGGTGATTCACACTTTGCATTAAGTTGCGTCTAGTGGAAGTGCTGGGGAGAAGGCTGATTTTATCAACCGTTATGGTAATTAAACCTTCGGTGGATTATTTTGGAAAGTCAGTTAAGTTTTCGCATGAGAAAATAATAACACTTGCCATTACCAGGAAAATGGAGGCGATCAACTTTGAATGTTTGGACTGACCCCATAGGAGGTAGTACCTTACTCCGATGGGTTTAGGGTACTGAAGGAGGAGGGGTAGTTGTCTTTCTGATTCTGGTAAGGTCGAAGTCTTCTAAAGGTGTTGGAGCAACAACTATGTTTCACATCTCCAGACGGGAAATGTGATCGTGATATAATATTTAAATCACGGCAAATATGCTTAGGATATATCCTAGGTTAGCATGGGTAATTGGACGCATTACTTAGCCTTTCAGATATTATCTGTGCTATTGTTGGCACAAAGGGGGTTCGTGCGATAATGTCTGGGATTTTGGATAGTAGGTGGTGCCGATCTCTCACTAGTTGGTCCGGCCTGGAAGCGAGGTTATATGGTAAGACCTTGACTTTATGTAAGGATACATCGGAGAAACATACTCTGTTTTGGTAATGAGTGTGTACGGTTTAGAGGCGCCAATCGAATTTTGTAGATAGTTGAACTCGTACATAAGAATTCTCTATCAGGAAATGGTTGTTTTGGAGGAAGGTTAGTTTTCTGTATTACACTGCCTTTTCACGGATTTTGGTAAACGAGTTAGGCAGTTGCTTATACTATAGCGTTACCAAATGGTTAAAGCGCTGCATGTATCAGAATTCTGTGCGTCTGATCTATGGGGGTACGATGGGATCGTTGATAGGTACAATCTGGGAGTTGTACAAATATGCTTTTTCTTATACATGGTATATTGTTGGATATGTTGGAATTTGGTGGAGCTCATCTAATGAAGTTGTGCCACACGAAAACGGAAATGAATTTGGTAAAGTCATTAATTCAGAGTTTCGTGAATTTCGAGGACGGAATTCCTTTTGTTAGGGGGGAAGAATGTAATACCCCTACTTTTCAAAAGGATAGAATTGAAAATTTAATTTAATAAATGATAGAATTGGAAATTTAATTTAATTTTTTCATTGATTAATTGTGGTTGCTTAATTGATTTAATTAATATTTGTGTGTATTTGATTTACATGTTAATTGCGATTGTTTTAATTATATTATTTGAATTTATTTAAATTAATTGCCTTAATATTATGTAACTTAAATTTATTCAAGGATTTGGGATTAGGGGTCCACTAGGTGGATTCCCGAGTTGTACGGTTTTAAATCATATTAATTTATTTATTTCAAGTTTGAGGATTCTTATATTAGATTTCTTTCAACGTATTATTAATTTGTTCTTAATTCATTTTTATTTCTGCTTCTTTACATATTAATTGTTTGGTATCCCTCGGATCTGTGCTCGGACTTGATCACCCGTGGCTCTAGAATCGAGGGGTATCACAGGGGGGATGATTATCGTTCTCTTCAAGATTCCCATTACCTTCGTTTGGACTTGAGAGATCTTGTCCTGGAAAGTTTTGTTGAACTGGTGGAACAAGGTGTTGCATTTTGCTGGATCAACTGGTTCATACCCTGACTCAGAGTTTGAACCTGCAGTTCCAACGCTGCAAGCCGTGCCTGGTCGTTTGGGATGTCCAAGTTTTCACCCGACTCTACCCTTTGACCAGATCCCAGTGACGGTGTTCCTTCGGTAACCATACCGGACTGCAAACGTATATACCCAACGAGTAATTAATTGATTCAAGGGAATCGTCGTTCCCACAGACGGCGCCAACTGTTGAGGCTGAAATTCGCACAGTCCGATACGATACCTTTTTCCTGCAAGGAAGAGAGGAGAAGATCGATAAACCTTGACGGCACCGGTGTGGTACATGCCAAGAGCTTTCTGACGATCAAATTAGTCACAGAGGCCTTAAAAGAAGGTAGAGATTAATAATAGTTTTTACATCGTACCTTCTTTAATGGCTTGATGTCCTATTTATGGCTATCGATTGGAATCAAAATCGTTCCGCCGATGTCGATGGTTGATCTTATCTTTCGCTTGTGCGAAATCATAGGAAATTTGTTGCCAGATTTGTCGAAGATATGATTTAATCCTTTTGACCTTCTTTACTTATAATAGGATTATTCTTACCTGTTGAACCACGTCAGAATTCATTATCCTTGATAATGAAATCTAATCAATCTTATCGAGGGTATGGTATGTTTATATTTTTTCTTATCAATTACAAAGAGTAAAATAAAAATAAAAACTAAAGAAAAAGAAGAATGATACTTCTGAAGAAAAAAAAAAAACAATAATGACTCAAAATAATAATAAATTAAGAATGAATCAAAAATAAAATAAAAAAAAATGAAGAAAAAAAATCAACCACTTCTAAACATCAATTAGAAAGAAAAAATAAAAATAAAACAAATATTAGAAAGAGAAAATAAATAATAATAACATAATAATAATGTTTATAAAAAGAGAAAGTAAAGAAAAAATGAAAAATATGAATCCACAAGCTTGACCATATATATATATATATATATATATATATATATATATATATATATATATATATGTGATAAAGTTTTATAGAAAATAAAATAGGTAACTGAAATTTTATTATGTAATTTGTGTTAGAGTTTTATAGAAACACTTTTTTTTTTTTTTTTTTTTGAGGTATATTTTATAGAAACTTTTTTTATATTAATTAATAAATATTTTTTTATATTAATAAATAAATACTGAACTAATGAAGCAATTAATAAATAATTTTTTTATATTAATAAATAAATACTAAAATACTAAAATGTTAAAAGACTAAAACTCTTCGCACATTTAATAATAGTATAGATATAGACATAGATATATATATATGACGTTTATCTATTTTAAAAATTCTTTATTTTGCACATTGTTTCCCAACAAAGATATATGGCATTTAAGTAAATAGTAATAAAAAAATTAAAAGAAAGGAAAAATCATTTTCGTTTTATATTATTAATACCTGATACCTTAAAACTTTTTTCGCTAACCAATTGTTCCAACTTCCAACCTTTTTTTTCATTTTTCTCACGATATACTAACTATATTCATTTATTTATTTTAACTATGAAGAAATTTAAAAAAAAAAAACTCTTCTGTATTGGCTAAAATTTAAATTTTAATCTAGAACAACCTGGGGCTGCGATAGGTCACACGCACATGAGTCTTGGGGAAAAGGTTAGCCTAACCCTAATGTTAGCTTGGAGACTACGAAATTCGCCTCAAAACTCGCCTTGCTTATATAAAGTAGACTCACCCATCACATCATCAATCCACATATAAGACGATTCCTCTGTGTCAAAACTAAAAACCCAATCCAGTCCAGTCCAGTCCGATCATCGGCGGCACAAGAGTTGCAGATCAGGTGGAATCGGGAGCGATGGGTATAATAAGGAGCAATTTCTTATTCATGATGGGGACAGTCTGTGGGGTCTATGTTGCCCAAAACTACAACGTACCCAACATCAAGATGCTCGCCAACACTGCCCTTGTCATGGCCAAGCATCTAGAGGAGAACTATCGCAAACCCAAGAAGAATAAAGAAGACGACGACAACCATTGATCTTTATCTACTCACAAATACACCCATTTTATTTTTGCTATTCTTTTCTCCAATTCCTGTTGCTTAATTGGGGAAATTAGAAATTAGAAGTAGTAGTATTATATTTCTAGGGTTTGCTTTGTTGGTCTTCTTCATGGGTGTAGTCGAAATTCCCTTCTCGTCATAATTTTATTTTTTATTATATATAATTTTGTTTTAGCCCACTTATTCTTCGACGTGCATTGAATTTGATTTGACTCTGCTATATTATCTCAGTTCTTGTTTGAACCAAATATATATATATATCACATAATTCACTATAAGAAGTTAACAAGGGTCATTTTGTCCCACATCGGAATCGAATGGAAAAGAGATTGAAAATTCACAAGTTTTTTCTTCATAACTTTTGCATTGGGCATCTGAGAATTATCATTCATACCTGCTTAGTTTTAGCAACCAAATTTTGGGTTCATTTACAAAACAATCGCAGCTTTCGGATTCTATTTGGAAAGAGAGGTTAGGATTGGGTATAAATGGGTGGGTATGCAGCTTTACCTAACCGTTCGAGCTTTTGGATAAATGGGCAAGCGCCGATCCGTTACAGTTGGTATCAGAGCCAGACCCAGTCCTTGATCCGGTGCCACGCCAAGCGCCCGGCCCGGAAGGCCAAGCTCCCTGCCCGGAAGGCGTCCGGGTGAGTCATCCCGGGTAGGCAGGGTGACCCAACCGCAACGAGGGCGTTGCGAGTTTGGGTGGGGGAGAATGTAACAAAGGTCATTTTGTCCCACATCGGAATCGGATGGGAAAGAGATTGGGTATAAATGGGTGGGTATGCAGCCTTTTGGATAAATGGGCAAGCGCCGACCCGTTACACCGTGTAACAACTGCACAATTGTTAGTGATTCCAAAAACAATTTAAAAAGAAACAAAAACCCGACCCGATAATTTGTAATAGGTTCAGTTCTTATTTTCATTTCAAGGGCTAGTTTGGTGTATTTAAATGAAATAAAGTGTAAATAGAATGAGAATGGACATGTTTGGTTGTACACAAAAATATGTGTGTGTAGTTCACCTTTCATCAAATGTTTTTTTTATTCATTTATTTATTATTATTTTTTTTTAGTAGAAATAGAATGGGTCATTCTTTAATTGGAAGGTGAAATGAATTAATAGGAATCACCATTCTTGAAGAATGGACAAGAATAATCATTCCATCTTTAAAGTTAGTTAACAAATTAAAGAATGAAAACAAAAATATTCCATTCTCACTTCATTTATTTTATTCACTCACACCAAACAATCATAGCCTAAACTGTTTTAAATTTGTACAGAGTGCAAAGCAATTATATTTCTAGCAGCGTTTTGAAAATCAGTAAATATGTTAAAAATTAATAGAGATTACAAAACAAACAATATTCACACAACAACAGGAGAAATTCAGAAAATTTTGGCATTTAAAAAACCTTGAGCAAAAATACGGTGTACTCCACTGAGAGATAAATTGTATGTTTCCATTATGCTTTATTAAAGGTCACATCCCTTGTTCAATCCACTATCGCATCTCCTTATAGAAAGGACCAGGTTTCAAAATAACACGACCATACCATCCAAGTGCAAATGAGCTACATGCGAGCAACATAATTTGGTAGAAGAAAGATTCTTCAAAATATGTTCAATTATACATTCAAAAATCAATAAAAATTTACATTAATGTAAAGATATCTTTAATGTTAGAGAAAGAGGGTGCTGTGACACCTACAAGTCAGGAAAAATGACCATATGTTTCAACTAAATGAAAAGAAAATGCAAACAAAAACACTTCTAATGTCGAACCAATACGTTCCCCACACATAATTTCAGACGAGTTTGAAGGCCCACCGACCACTCATCAATTTTGACAAAATAGTAAAAATGTTTCCCATTACTTTCTAAGGTAACGCACAACATTTTTACACTAGAAAATTAAAATGTCTTGCGCAATTTCCTAAGTGAAATTCAGAACACCGCAAAAGTTGATCTTGGTGTCTGACTATTACTAACATTCGCTCTCACTGCAGCTCCTACGTCTTCTTATTTCTTAACAAAGTACCCCACCAGAATTCCTAGTAAACCCATCAGCACCACAAACAAGAAGGAAAAGCCGCCAGCACGGTTTCTGCTGATTTCTCTTCTCATTAAATCCTGTTCAATATAAAACACCAAGTCATTTGCTAGCATAAACAAAAACGAGTATAGCTATTTACTTGGCATCATGTGTGGAAACGGATAAAATGAATCATGTTTAGTACACACAAGCATTCTAATTCATAAGACCTAAGGCTCTAAAATGAAGACAAACCCTCTTTAAGAGCACTTCATAATTTAAATAATTAAAAATTTATTGGCAGGAAGAAAGAAAAAACATCAATAGAGTTGCTCAAGGCAGTATCATGTTTCACAGCAGCAGGTCCAAACACAAAATATCTCATCAATGGGAAGCATTGGTCTTCATGAGTGGCCCTTCAAAAGCCAATGATAAAAATAAGAAACATTAGTAAATTTGTTATTTTAATACTCCCGAATTCTGCTAAAAAATGAGATAAGAATAACCTATCTGATTAATCTTGACCCATTTCAGCAAAATTATAAATTGAATCACTTCTGGTTTCTGTGCAGACATCAGCAAGTAAGACCTTGATGTAAGATTGATATAATTTAATGTGAATTCATGTACAAAGAGAGCTCAGCCAGTCATAAAATGCAGACACGCACATATATATGACAACATTGACCAATCATATATGTATATTGAAACGTCCATGGTGGCAGATTATTTCAATATGATGCCAAATGTTTGTGGTGTCAAATTATTGTGTGGGTGTGTGTGAACTTTGAGCAATTCAGAATACCAACAAAACAGGAGCTCTCTATTGTCAGACTGATGACTAGCAAAATTTCTGTTTGACCAAATGTAGCATTGATCATCATGATGATCGTGATCATCATGTGTGAGTATAAAGGTTAGTAATTAGAATGACAAACAAGGGTATGGATGGTATTATAAATGATGAAGAAACAGGGACTACTGTGGGATTTAAAATTATTCACATAAAACACCGACTTCCCATGAAGTCACTTTTAGAAGCATCCCTCACTTTTTTGTGAAGGACTTTGGGACTGACCAGTTTTTCATAGAAGTCCTCCAATGATTATGTCAACCAAACACGTCAAAAAAAAAAAAAAAATTAATAATAATAAAAAATAAAATTGAAGGGGCTTCTAAGGCTGAAAAGCCCTTCTGAAGAATTCAAGAAGCCCCACGCTACCTAAGTATGCTACGGACTTCTGTGTGTGTACAATTGACTTGTGTGACTATTCTCCAAAATCATTCCTACTTCTTCATACAAATTACAACTACGTCAAAAGCCTACCAAACAGCTTAACTTCTCAAAGGAACAAAAAGTCACTCAAATAACTTTGTGGGTTCAGCAATTCCTATTTAATATTAATCAATAACGCAACTGTATTGTAATTATTTAGATTAAACATGTGGAGAGGTTTTTCAAATGGAGTAAGGAAGGTGCACAAAACAAAGACAGATTGCACAAACATTGCACGAAGCATTAAAGGAAAATAAATTACCCAGGATAAACAATGCGAAAGTATGACCACCATAAGGACATATATACATAGCAACATACCAATTCCTGACGGAGTTTCTGATTTCGTTGCATAGCGGAAGCTCTCTCTTCAGTCAACCTTGAAATCATAGACCATTCCTGAAGAATAAAGAATTTTTGAGAAATTGCTAAAGGGAATGGTAAGGTAATAAAACAATCAAATCAGATGAAAATAGAAATAATTCTAAAAATTATTATTATTATAATAACTGTACATGCATCTTTTTGTGCAATATAGGCTATAGTATGTATTGCAAATTTCACGTAATGAGTTGTCACTGCGTTTGGGTGATTATATGAGCAATTACTAATGATGATAATTACGAAAACATTACAATAATGATAACAAAGAAGAGAGTGAAATCCCTTGAAAGATGAGGGATGTGCAAATATTAGAAAATGCTGATTTAATGTATCAAATATCTCCGTCAAAAGCAATATGACATGGCATGGATATAGATACGCAACGTGACTGACGGACCAAAAAGTTACACAAATACCACATAGATCTGTCCAACAAACATAGAGAGGAAACATTCTTATTTCTCTCAACATTTGAGTGGGTGTTTTAGTAATCCAATACTCCATGGCATGAATACTTCAAATCGAGTACAATACATGCAGAAACATCATTCTATCCTGGAATACAGAAAAAGAAAATTAGGGATTATTAGAACCTAAATTTCTCATGTCCAAAAGACCTGCCTATAACTGAATCTGACAATTTGACATACACTTATATATCCGACATGGTAATCAAGTGCATGTGACAACATGCTAAAACATGGAATCAATCCCTGCAAATAGTGCAATGTATCCAATATATGTTTTAAAGACCACAATAATAGTTCTGATACACCTACATTTTCCACGAATGTTATAAGTTCTCACTATTTATTATGCAACTTTTCCGAAAAATGCAATTGATATCATCAATATGTCCATTTGTATATAATATTTATGGGATCACAAAATATCCATTTTATCAATATATTATTTTATACATGAATTAGTCAACAAGAATCGTTTAACAGAAGTAATATTGATAAACAGACTCCAATTAATTCACCAGGCAATTCAGGTTTTTTGAATTCCAAAGTATTCATTTCTCCATACTACCCTTCAGCTTTAAGCCAAAACACAGACATAGCACATGATTGTATGGTATAAGCAATACATTAAACTTTAATTTACCTCAGAAAAGTTACATTAAATTAAATGTGGATTCTCTATACAATTTAGAATGCTGATAGTAAGGAATGGAACTCGAGGCTCTAATAAAGAGCTGCACACGGACAATGATCTAGACCTAGAAGGAGGGTGAATAAGTCTGTAGAACTAATTGCAGAACTTTACTTTTTGATTTTTAAACTAAATAAAACTCAAATTCAGTTTACAGCAGAAAATAAAATTCTATCAATCCATAAAAGTTATAAGTAAATAACGACATGTAGCAATGTAAAAAGAGATTTTTATGTAGAAACCCCAAGGGAAAAAATATATGAGAAAAGAAGTTTACACCTAGGTTAACAGACTCTAACCCAAGAATCTGCTAGTTGACTCACTAACACATATGAGCCAAAAAATTTCCCAAAAGTCCCCAGGTTCAACAACCCTTGCTCCTCGTGAAACTGCTTCTCCACCGGTAATTTCAATCTCAGCCACTAGTCGTCCAGGCTTCAATCTCAGATCACTGGATCAAATAATTGTGTTGAGCTCTTCAATTGCGGTACGCAGCAGGTCAACACATAATAATCACACTCACAAATACTACAAATGATGAACTTTGATTTTCTTCTTTGACCTTGGGAGGTACTAACTAACTTTTGAGAACTTCTAGCCTAAGCTAGAAATTAAAACATCCTATTGACCTAACAAAAACTAACCCCTCCCAAACCACCCACACAAAACATGAGAAGGTGGTCAAAACATCATGGTCTCACAGGCCCCTTCACTTCCACAAACTAAGTCTCAGTAAGACTACAAAGAAATGAAGTTTCATTAACATGAGGAATTATTTAAACACAAGGGATAACTTACAGAAAATACTATTCATTATTATTATTTTTTGTGAAGAAAAAAGACAGTTTTATTAACATGAAGACCATACATGTTTATTCACTGCCTTATTAACATGAAGACTATACATGTTTATTCACTGCCTTACATATGAGCACGCCACTAGGCCACCTAAATTGGAGCAAGCACACTATTCTGTTCCCAATAACGTACCTATGTCAATATGACATGATATGGAAAATGTGACACAGACGCATATATCCAAACAGGACACCCGAATCCTATACATGTGATAGTGGAAGAAGAAAAAAAGTTTAAATTTGATAGAAATTAGCAAAGAAGGTTTTCTTCCTTTTGATACAGATAAATTCCTGCTTTTTTTTTTTTTTTTTTTTTTTTCATATTCCATTTAATCTAATTATAATTGAGTAGGTTTCTAAAGAATCATAGAATTATATATTACGTTGTTATATCAGATATTATGTACTTGAACGTGCAAGATGTGTATCAAATATTATGCACTTACATGTGCAAGACATGTCCACGTTCCAGTATCCTAGTTTTAAACACATTTCAAGTCAATTTCCCACAGACCCACACCATAAGATCTTGGATTTAGGAAGGTGAACTCCACCACCTGATACTCTTACTCAGATCAATGTAACATAGCCACAAGCAAATAACACAAAAGAGGCATAATACAAGCCAAGACTGGCAAAAAAATAAGTATTTCCATGAATATGTAGGATGACAGATGGAAATATCCTTTATTGTAACATTCATTTTTAAGTAATAGGAGTCCCTCCACTGTCACATCTACTAACCACATGAAAATTAACTGATGACAAGAAGTTACCGTGTGTTTGTACAACATTATAGGCCACAACTGTCAATTCTCATGGAATGAATTTTGACTAAAGGATCACATATCTACCCGTAAGTGAAAATACCATCAAAATATTTCCAAGACCATCCCAATTAGGTGGAGAAACCGTAAAGGAAAAACATAGTAGGCAGCAACTCCACACTTAAATGCTCAAAGCAACACTTCAATGCTTAAAAGCTCCTCTGTTTTAACAAGCAACATGCATCTAACAGTTCCGTGAGTACAAACCTCAATTACAGCATCATTCTACTAAACTAACATTTTAAGACCGTCCCAACTCAAATAGTTTTCCCCATAAAAAATTAGGCACAATATCAAGCATACTGCTTCATTAGTATAGGTCCTCCTACATGTCTACACAAATATACAGCATCAACCTCACTAAAGAAAGAATAAAGCACATAAGAGAGCAATAAAACCTAAAACTTTATAACCATCCATTGCCAACTATCTTTTGCGTGTGTTCATGTATTTGAGTGTTTCATCTGTGAGTAAAATGAGACAGATTATATACCTCTGAGGATGAAGATTTCTCTTTGGGCTCCTCAAAAGATCTTGTTACCTAACAGTTGTAAATGGAAAATGTAAAAACTTTAGTAACATCTACAACCAATCAAGGGGAAAAAAGACGAAAGCAACAAACCCTTACAGCATCAGACAATGTAGAATTTTGATTCCCATCATCAACCCCAGATGCCCTAGGAGAAGATCCTTCTTCAGATCCTTCAGGCACTGGTGATGGAGGGTTAGCGGGAATGTAAACAACCCTCAACTTGAACTCATCAACAACTTTCCCTTCCTCCTTATTGAACTACAAAAATAATAAACACAATAACTGAGTCCCATATAGATACTGCCTAAGACACAATACGCAAACTACTACTACTACTTCTATTACAACAACAAAGGCAGTTTCGTGGCAAAACTATCCCACCATTTCTGTGGTTATGTCCTTGCTAGTTGTACCATTAGCTGCCATGACGCTCTGAAGGAGAAATTTATCCCTGCACTGCATATCAGGTGGTGACTCTTTCTGGGCTTGCATTGTAACTACCAAGGGTGACCAAATCCATACAACCCATCATTCAATAGTTACATTTAAAACAAAACAAAAACCAAAATAAAGAAAATAAATTTGTATGCTACATGAAAGTGTTAGAATTTCACCTGTAACATTGCAGCTAGAGCCAGGCAAAACAATACCAGTGTTGGGACGAACACAGTATTTCTTGGGGTTGGTTGTTTTAACCTTTTAAATTACCACATACATCAATTAAACAGTACAAAAGAGATCTTATCCATAGGCAACAAAAACTGATCAAATAATTAAGATGGCAACCAAAAATACCTTGAATGCAACATATTGATCAGTCTTGTTGGTCAATTGCATAGAGCATGAACTTTGCTTTCTCAATTCAACTTCACAACACATGCCAAACAAGCCATAAAGAAATCCATACCCATGAATCAATTTATAAAAAAAAAGAAATTTAGGAATCAATAAACAAACAACTTTTGAAAAGAAAGAAATTTTGACTCTCGAATTTTTCCTCAATTAAAACACTATAAAACAAAAGGGTATTCGTCATAGCCAAAACAGCGTCAAACATGAAAATTCTGAAAGAAAAAAGAATGCATTTCATCGTCCTCGATTTCTCGGCAACCAATCAGAAAGAGAATGAATATCCAACAAGTGGCACTTACATGGGAATTTGAGTTCGCTAGGTTGAATGTTGAGAAGGCCAACGGTACTCATGACTCTGAATCAACAGATAAACAACGAGAAGAATCGAAAAATCGGTGAAATTTCGATACCCAATTTGAGGGATAAATCAAGATTCTAAAATTAGGGTTTGTAAGATATAATTGATCAGAGAGACGGGCGCACGGAGAAACTGATAAGAAACGGACCTTTTATTTATTTTATTTTCCTCTCTGAGTTCTCGTTTTCTTCGCTCTTTTTTTGAATCTTGATTCAATTGCTCTGACAGAAACGTTATTACTTAATTACCCAAACAAGTTCATACTATTCATATGCGGTGTAAGAAGAGAGCGTGTAACACGAAGGGTAAAAAGGGAAAAAGTGAGGGGTGCTGCGAGAAGACTCTGTGATGTCATTTGTGCAGGCCCGGAGAGAAAAAGGACAAGCCAAGTTGGCTTTGCTGCCAATCAATGTGGAATTATAAAATATTGCAATATCCAACTGTCACTCCAATTCTACCTGTCATTCATTTAAAATAATTGCATTTTAATGTAAACCAATTAATTTTTTTATAAAAAAAATTAAAAAAAACATATTAAAATTTTTTATTTTTAAATAATTAGAGTCCTGCTACACTTGATAGAATTAGATTATGTTTGGTACGTGAGGAAGAAAAAATAATAATAATAATAATAATATTAATTATGAGAGAAAGAATTGAAAAAAATAATTTTAATTAGTAAAAGAAAAAAATAAAAAATAATAATCTTATTTGAAAAAAAGAATGAAAAATAAATTATTTTAATAAATTTACTACTATATTATATTTTTTTATATTTTAAAAGATAAATTTATAGATTGAAGTATGTAATATAAAATAAAAAAATAATTTGATAAAAACATTATTTTGATGAGTCAATAGGAACCCACTTCCCATAATAACTAACTATATAATATACGCATAATATATTAAGAAAAGGGCATTGGGGATCCTTTTGGCAAGCTGTTGATGTAGAGATAGAAACGCATGCAGCAAATCCACTTCCCCCTTCTCTCCTGTACCACAACTTGAACCCACTTCCCCCCTTCTCTCTCTCCTATTTCTTCTTCACAGCAGTGAATTTTGTCGCCCTAAAATCAAGTGTAATTTTGAGTTTGTGTAAGGAAAAATTGGAAATCATAAATAATACATCAAGTCTTCCATTCTCTTTCCTTTTATTTTTTAGAAGATTAGAAAATTATTATTTAAATCTTGTGATATTCTTTCAAAACCATCCATTTTCTTTTCTTTTCTTCCACCCATTCATGTAAAACATAATTTTTTAATCATCTTCCATCACCTTTCCTTTCCTTTTCTCTCATTTCCTCCCTTTTTCATTGCACCAAACTGACCCTTAGAGTAATGCTATAAAAGATAGATTATTTTCATTATTTCAAAAAAGATTTTTAATTAGTCATGAATAAGGATATTTCTATATTTTCAAAGTATTTCAATCAGCAATGAACACATCAGTATTACTATATCATTTTTTTTTATTTAATTACCAAAGTTTACAATAATGGTGTTTCTTTTCTAATTTTTCCTTTTGCTTTTAAAGTTTGATGCATTTCATTCATGCTAATTTCACATGATTTTCTTTAAAAGAAATTAAAGTTAAAGCAAATAAATTTTGAAAATTTTATTTTCCTTTCGTTCACATTACTTTTTTTAATTTCATTTTCCATAATTTGCTTCTATATAACCAAATAGACTCTAAAATTTTTTTGTTCTATAATACTTTTAGTATTTTTAGTTTGAACATTTATAATTATAACCAGATTCTACTATCATAAATTTAAAATAAAAAGAATTAAAATCAATTCAAAGTTTTGAAAAGAGAGAGAAGTATCTTAATAGACCCTCATCCAAGTTATCATAGATTAAAAAAAAGAAGCTTTGATTCTATAATTATTTCCTTACATTACAATAGTTTAGCTGAAGGTTAAATAAAATAAAATAAAAAATTTGTTAAGAACAAAAGGTAGGAAGGAGAAATATCCCCTAAGAAAGGTAAAAGAAATTTGCAACAGTCTGTTTGGTTAAACATGTAGGGAGGTTGGAGGAAGTAAATGAAAAAGAAGGGTGTTGTTTAAAGGGTATATTTTTTTAACTTAAAAACAAAAAGAAAAGGTCATTATTATAATCCTCCTTTTCACTAACTTTTGGAAAGAAAATAATAATAATATAATGAGCTCAAATAAAATACCCTCCACCTTTTCCTCGCTTTTTTACTTTCTGCATAATTATAGCAAGAAGTTGCATACGCCCTTTTTCCATTTCTCTTCTTCCACCCTTTTTAATTTATTTAGTAGTCTCTTGTTTAAATTTTTTTTTTAATATATATAAAAAAAAAAAAAAGACATTCTCACAAAATTGTGTTAACAAATAAGTATAAATTTTATCTTTTGCCTCAAATTTAAATATATTAAAGATCACTCACTTGGAATGTCTCGTTCTGGACTGCAATTTCTGATCGTAATGCTATAGTCTAAACTATAAATTCAATCCAATTTCACTGATTCTTCTAAATAAATAATTAACCATCAAACACTAGTAAAAAATACATATGATGCCGTGAGCGAAAGTGTTAAATGATCATAAAATTAAGAAAAAATTATGAATGATAAGAAAAACATATAAGAATAATTTTCCACGTAGAGAGAATTCTTAGGAGTAGTTGATAAAATTTAGAATTCTTAAAAGGTAAAAAAAAATGATCAAAAACAAAAATATAAGAATAATTTTGTCTATAGAATTCTTAGGATAAGTTGAAAAGTTTGATATAGAACTTTTAGGAGTAGAGAATTGTTTTTATATATTATTGAAATAAATAAAGTTATACAAAATAAAAAATACATTATAAAAAAATTTAAATATAAGATAATTTTGTGCATTGAATGCTTATAGTAGTTGATATGAAATTTTAGAGAATTGCTTTTATCTATTTATTGAAATAAATAATATTATAAAAATTAAACATAAAAATAATTTTGTGTATAAAATTTTTAGGAGTAATTGGTGGAGTATAGAATTTTATTAGTATAGTTGATATAGAATTTGCAGGAGACTATTAGTAAGAGAATTATTTTATATATTTATTGAATTAAATAATATTATAAAAATTAAAATATATTATTAAAAATTAATAGAAAAAATGATATAAGAAATAGAGAGAGAGAGAGTTGTAACAGACGAAAGGCTCAGTCATACTTTCATAGTCATCTTTGTGCATGGACTATGGGCAAAAGAATAGTTATATTTTCATTGTCATCTTTGTCCCATTTGGAGGTCCTCCCCTTGGAGGGGTTTGGTTTGACAGCTTCTAAAAAAATTAAGGGGTTAATTGACACAAAATAGTTGAGAAAAGTTTTCAAAAAACCTGCATAGTTTAGATAGATTTAGTACAAATTTGCATACATTATTGTCAATGTAAATGAAAAGAAGATACTAAAATTAGTTGCTTGTAGCGGTATAACATAAGCCCCCTCGTTTAATTCGGTGTCACACAAAAATATTCACACTCTGAGTTGTTATCGGAAGCTCCTATTATTAAGTTGGATGATCTGGCATCAAGCTAAAATATTCACACTAGGTGAATCCTCCATATAGTTAAGATGGAAGGGAGATGGAGTTATTCAACCTCAACAAGGGTAGATATGTAAAAAGGCTAGCATGCCAACTGGTACAACGGCCATCATCGGAAGGAATATAGTTTCACCGTTTCTCAAGGCATCAAGCCAAAATGTTCACGCTAAGTTGAATCCTATTATAAATAAGGTTGACAATAGTCAGAGTGATTCGACCGCAACAAGAATAAATGTCTAAAATGACTAGCTCACCACTTGGTACAATGACGATCATCCAAAAGGTTATATAGTTGGACTGTTTCTTAAAAATTTAATTGATATAAAATAATAATTTTTAATTTAATCGATACAAATTAATTCAGAAATGTATTCCGAAAAATCTTATACTTCAGACAGATTTAGTGCAATTTTGCCTATGTACAAGGAAACAAGAAAGTCAAATTAAAAAATTAGAAATCCACGGGTCTATTTTATCATGTCAATTCAAAGGATCTCCCCGTACGCGGCGAATCCATGTAATCGTCACCCCTTTCACTCAAACGAAATTCCAATTGTACCCTTTACTGCATATTCTACTCTCTCTCCTCTCTTACCCTCGCATCTTCTCTCTCTAAAAAAACATAAATTATAGCATGAATCAAACACACTGTACATGTTTGATTAACTGTAAATCATAGTAAAAACAAAAGAAGGTAAATTACATGCAACTGCTGAAATATGATTGAAAAGATCGGATGTGATTGTATCAAATTAAACACAAATTATAAATTCCAAAAGCCTTAAAGTGTGGTGGATGGGAAAATTATATATGGTCTAAATGAATTGACTAACCTGCTTGCAAATGTTATATACAGTACATATTGTGGTCCAAGGATACAGGTAAGAGTGACAATAATGTGACATACATATATAGAGATTTGCAAACATAGTACTATTACCTCTTGTAATTAAATACACAATAGTCTCTGTAATGTATGCTTCCATACTGTCATCAAAACATATATGTACTGTACGTAACATTTGCAACCTCTTGTAATTAAATACACAATAGTCTCTGTAATGTATGCTTCCATACGGTCATCAAAACATATATGTACTGTACGTAACATTTGCAACCTCTTGTAATTAAATACACAATAGTCTCTGTAATGTATGCTTCCATACGGTCATCAAAACATATATGTACTGTACATAACATTTGCAAATCTCTATATGTATGTCATACAGTACATATATGCAAATGTTATGTACAGTACTTATATGTTTTGATGACAGTATGGAAGCATACATTACAGAATCTATTGTGTATTTAATTACAAGAGGTAATAGTACTATGTTTGCAAATCGCTATATATATATATATATGTATGTCACATTATTGTCACTCTTACACATACCCTTGGACCACATATATGCAAATGTTATATACAGTACCTATATGTTTTGATGACAGTATGGAAGCATACATTACAGAGGATTGTGAATTTAATTACAAGAGGTAATAGTACTATGTTTGCAAATCTCTATATATGTATGTCATACAGTACATATATGCAAATGTTATATACAATACATATATGTTTTGATGACAATATGGAAGCATGCATTACAGAGACTATTGTGTATTTAATTACAAGAGGTAATAGTAC